CTGATTCCTGAAGGACAGTAAGTTTATGGCCTAATATCTGTGGGACAGCCAGTCAGTTAAAGATGAACTTTGACTGGCCCAGAACTAAAATGCCTGGGGGCAGCTGTATAGCTCAAGTAACTGATTAGAAACTGATACTGAAAAATGACTGAAAATTAAACTCCAGGAGGTCACAAAAAGATTAAAAGCAAAGCAATGTCTTTTTCCACCAGAAGCCAGGTCATTATAGAGTATCATCATAGCCTTCCATAGCATTGTCTAGCAGAGCCAGCACTAATCCCAACTCAGTACATCTAGAGTAATCTCAATTTCTAAGCAACGAGCTGCATCTATATAAATCTCTGATGTTTTAGAATATCAGCCTTGTCTGCCTGAATACATGATGTCTCATGGAGTTCTACCAGGTGCTAATAGTGCACAGTGCTAAAAAACTTCCTTTCCTTCTCCCCTCACTGCTGCCCTCTTTCCTTCAGCAAAAGAGAATTCACTTCCTTGATGCAGTCTTTGGCCTTCTAAACTGAAGGAAGCAGAGCTGGTCTGGAAGGTCCCATGCCTTTCCACACCACTGGATCACAGGTCTCTTTCTCCAGGAATGGTATGAATACTTCAACTCCCTGCCACTTGCCTGACTGCATCCTTTAACTTCCCAAAAGCAGCACAGGGAGGCATGCTGCAGGCTGTGGAGAACTAGGCAGCCAGACATTGAAAACGAGCAGCCAGAAAATGCAGCGTTGCACTCAAGCCAGTAACAAAACAAGTTCTGGCTGCCTGATCAAACCTCTGGCATAGCTGGTGAGACTCCCATCCTAATTTTGTGGGTTCCTGTGAAAACACAGCATGGGTGAGGTGATAAGAAGAAATTTAACAGTGTTTTCAGGAAAGGAAGCCATCGGAAAAAAACTTGACATCCTCAAATTCCTGAATCTATAACAGGATATCTACATGACTGAAACACGGAGAATTCCACTCAGGCCGGCACTGCGCACTAAGCGCACACTGAAGAGCTATGTTAGTGTACCTTGAAGAGTGCAGATTGATGCTACTTGAAGAAAAACTAGGTTTGTATAGCCAAAGAAGTGCAGACTTTCATTGCTGAGGCAGGCAGTATGAACGGGCATTCTTAATGCTTCCTTTCTACTACATTCGATGTCTTGCAATTTGCTGTTCTACACAACTGCTGACACCACGTACAGCTTTTCTTGACAGTCAAATAAAAAACAACCAGTTCCCCACCCTGAAAAAGAAACCCCACAGGGAACTTAAGTGTGATAATAAAAGTGAGTAGCAGCAAACACTGTCTGAACTGTCAGGTTATAAACAACGTTCATGAAACCTTCGTGGCCCGGATCACTAAAAGGAAAGGCCATTGCTCTTCAGAGCCAAGAGCCATTAGAAAAATAAAAAGCTTTCTATCTCAGAGTATTTATGTCTAGATTTCACGTTCCACTGCTTCTTCCATGGCCGTATAGACTAAACAAGCAAGTTCACTTCTACTTCCAGTGCTGCAACAGCAAAAGGAAGCCACAGATTGCCTAGTAAGGCATTCCATGACCTTGAAACATACTCTGTAGAGCTACATGACTATGTCACATAGATGTCCAAGATCATAAAAATGTAGGGCTTAAGTTTTCCCATCACAACAGTCACTTTCCTAATGTACATATATGCCTTTTGCATTTGAAAGGATTTCCAATGTTTCCAAACTTTTATGCAAATTAGATAACTGAGTGTACCCATCTCCATGATCTTTATGGAAACTAGCTTCATTTTTCCATAGCAGTAGAACACTCCACTCCAGTTTCCTTGTTTCAAGCCATGTCTAAAAAAAGTAAAAATAATCTCCTAGCACAGTTATTTTCCTGGTAACCAAGTCCTGACAGATTTTGCCTTTCTCCTGTTTTGTTCTTATTTGGTTGAAAATTACTATTACTAGTGACTACTCCCATATTTTTCATGTTAACTATTCTTCTTCTAACCGACGTAATCTTTGTAAAATTTTTGTTGAAAAAAAAGCCTATTTCATTGTAAATTTTCGGCAGGTGACTAATCTGCCACAATGCTTTTGTACTTAGGCAAATTAACCCATTTATGCCTAGGAAAAATGATTTCTCAAGGTGAGATTAATCTAACTTCCTGAATATTTTGGAGATGCCTTTTGTTCAAGACATAGGGATACTGGATCTTTAACAGGGTTGTATGCATACGCCAGTTGGCTGAGATCCCATGCTGACTGGGTTTAGCTTGTATAAATACTGAATTATGCAAAGGGAAAGCCAGCTTAATGTCTCTGAGCATAACTTTTTGAATAGCCCCTAATCATCTAAGAAACAATACTATTAAAAAGAAATTACTTTTCAGTCTTTTTATTTGTTTTTCCCATATAACTCTAGTGAGGCTGAATAGGCTGAAGGTGAACTAATAGCTCACATTAAAAAGCGACTACCATACTGAAGAGGAGATTCTATGAATTGTTTAAGTTTAGAGCAAAAGCACCATCTGTGAAAGTTCTCACTTGCTAACAAAGAAGCTGTCTGACCTATTTGTGCTTAACAGTATTTCATATCACTTTATGCTGTTTTCTTCTTTTCAAAATGGATCTTAATACCTCTACATCTGTTATCTATGCAAGCATATTTCAGTCTATGGAACACTCCATTACTGCTTACTTTGGCTGTTCATTATCCACGTAAGTTGATTATCTGAATCACAAAATATTGTTTTGGAACCAAGAGACAAGGCAAGCCTTGAAAAAATAAAAGAAACAATATACAGAACAAGAAAGCAATAAATAATGATACTTTCACTAGAATTACGTCAACCAAGAATAATGTATACCACAATAAATAAAGCTTTACCAGTCTGAAAATACTTTAAGAAAAACTATCAGTTACTTGAATCATTAAACATTAAATAAGCTGTTCTGGATGCTGTAAAAAACTCTTTAATTTATTTTTTTTTTAAATTATGTGGCCACTAAAATTGATGGTGTTGTAATTTAGAGGTCAGCAAGTACCAAAGCACAGCAATTACTCATATGAAATATCCCTGCCAACACTTGATCAAATTTATTGTTTTAAGTGACTTGCACCTGTGACATGTATTAGGATAATCTGGTTCTGTTAGTCACAGATTTGGGAACCCTTCCTCTGTGTGGAAGGAAAGGTGATGGTTTGTAGTTTTAAATGCCAGGCAATAGAGGAAGCCACTGGTACCACTTTTCAGGTCTAATATTCAGGAAAATTAACTCCAAATGTGCAACAAGCCAAAGCACAATACAAAGCATTTTCTTTCAATGTAAAAACAAAAGGATCCAATAGAAAAGCAGGCAGAAGTTCTAAAACTTATCACAAAGGATTTTGTTTAACTTTTAAATACAAAATAATCCAGAACAATGTATTTTTTTTTAAAAGATATACATATATTCATAATATCACTAGCATTCATTAGAATGGAGCAAAAAGAAGCTGGAGTAGGCTTACATTCTCATAGGATGAGAACGTAACTATATGCATCAAGACAGTGTCTTGCCTTACCTCAACAACTTTGGAAGACCAGTTTCTTCTGGCTTTTGATATAAAGCCTATTTCAGTACATTTAGGATTAGGCTCCTAGTCTGTGTTTAATTTTGGCTGAATATCTTACCTAGGCACACTAGAGGAACACATGCACAACACACAAGGTGGCAGAAATGATTCCATGTATCTCCCTACCTCCCTTGCATTCATTAAGTGATACATAGATCACATTCTTTGAGAAAAATCTCAAAGATTTTTCTTTGAGAAAATCTGGAACATTCCAAGAGCTTTAATTTAAAATATTTTCCAGGAAATATGTAAGCTCTACACTTCCAGGAAATCAATAAGTCTACCCAGTGTTCTCACAGAAGATAACAAATATGTTGCAATTTTGTTAGCATCTTTCTACTTTGTGTACTTGTTTTATAAGTTATCCGAAACACCCACTTAAAGACAAACTTGAGATGTACAAAGCCCTGTGGGAAATTCAGCCATACATCTTGCTTTAGAGTACCCTGCTCTGCCTTGGAAACCTCAGCTGAAGATCTTTTTCCTTTATGTGTTATTCTGTTCCTGACACTGCTTAGCTCTACCGCACATCCAAGTATGAGATTTTATGGTATATTATCAGAAATTGTAGTTCCACATTACAACAAGCTTTCTGTACCAGTCTTTGCCTAGCCTATGTAAAAATTATCTTCTCCACAACACAATAACAATAGCAGTTACTTTGCTTTATATAATTATGGAGTTTTAAATATTAATGCAACTATTACAGAAAATGCCTGTGCAAGGTTATCTGACTTGAGAACAAGTTCCCTAAAAAGCAAGCAACTTTAACCAGGAAAAGTTAAGAGACCCGTTATGTGAAGAGATTTTGCTTTCTCAATGGCAAGACAACTTTCATCACATCTCTATGAGAAAGTCTGCCCTCTCCACGTTCTACTGATCTCCTTTCTGGCACTCAAGCTACATCTTTCTTATTCTGTCAGATGCAGAGAGGCCACTTTCAAACTCACAGGTGCCAGACCATTAACACAAATTCTCAGCCTGCTGTGGTTATTCACCCTGTGAATGACAGGCTCCTCCCATGCACTCAAAACACTTGATACCATGGTCATTTCTAGAATAGCTGTTCATAAATTGACTAAGCAAAACTGTGTTGTCCTCATGGGAATAAGCAAAAGAAACATCACTGCTGGATTTATTTTTTAACAGGAGCCTGAATGGATATGGGATTACACCCATATTCAGTGGACTAAATTCAACACAGATACAGTCACATAGCATATCAATCATACTGATTCCTATAAGAATCCATGCTGATTTCCACGAGAATCAGAGCAAATTTGGCTTTCCATCTCATATCTGTGCCATGAACACATCAAATAAACCTAACAGGCAAAGATAAAACACATAGCAGTTAGTCACAGGTTTCATAGCATGCCTTTAGGAATGCAAAGACTTTAACTTATATCAACATACTTCTGAAGAGTGAGGCTCAAGTTGTGGTTGGCTGACTTGATCTTGTTCTGGGCCTCTAAGTGGGTCATACTGTCAGTGTTGACTCCATCAATGGCTACCACAAGGTCCCCTTGGTTCATCTGTGACTGTGCTGCCTTGCTGCCAGGGGTGATCTGTGTGGGAAAAGAAAAGAAAAAAATGTCTTACCAGGATAAGTCACTCTGTGAACAAAGCATTTACAGAGGATTTGCCCAGAATTATAATGACAAACAGATAAGCAATAAATACAGTAACAGATACAGGAATAGCTGTATAAATTATTGTACGGGTAGAACAACAGAATTTATGGAAATTAAACAAACTCAAAGTTAATTCACATTTCTGCAAAGGCCCAGGGCAATGACTACTTGTCATTACTGCCATTTTGAGAGGTAAAGTCCAATGCAGTGGCTCCCTTAACACAGATTGTCTCCCCTCAGGAGGATAATTATAATTATTTATAGTGTAGTAGTATACAGAGACATTACTCAGAAGTGGAAAACTAATGAACCACTATCTGCTGTATGATTTTTATTATATTTTTCCTCCTAAAAGCCATTTTCCCCAAATTAATTCATTATATTGAGCAGACAGAAAATGACTGTGTGTGAAGGGCCCTGGACATGCCTTGCCTCTTTTAAAGTGAGCTCTATAGGAAATCATTCTGCTTAACCTTACCCACACACAACTATAGCTCCATTGCCAAGACAGATCACGACAACCTCATCAACATGTTGGACCTGATGCTCCAAAGGCAGCCCAGCACTTTTAGAAATAAGAAGCGACAATGCTTCCACTACAAACTCAACTACTGAGATAACAGTTCAGAAATTCTGGTCGTTTGCTATGGTATCACATTTTGTTAGCTCCAAATGCCTTGTGGACTGCATCTTCTCCAAACGGACAGTTTCCTGACCTCAATTCTACACAGCCCTCTCAGCTCGCACCTGGATGACACTGATACATTACAGCTACTTATGAAACTTGACTCCATCAGGGAACTCCAGCTAAAACAGAAGAGCCTTGACATACCATCAGTAAGACAAATTTTAGTGAGCACATCACAGTAGTCCTCTGCTTTCAGCACTCAGTACTTAAAGGGCATGGACATAAGCTATAGGTCTTTGCTCTTATTTTTAGGTAGTCACTTTCTTACATTCCTCGCTTCTAAAGAAACATCAAGGATGACCTAAAATGCTAGAACAAAGACTGCAGTCATCAACTCTGATCCTTCAGCACAGTGAACGTAAAAGAAAGATGTGTCTAATTATGAGACAAAATTTCCCTGTGAATTCAGGCAGGCTGAAACTGTGAAGTTAAGCTCCTAAGGAAACCAAAACTCAACACAAATCCAAATACTTTTCCTCATGAGATGTGAAATGAAATTCCTTTTCTAATATGACCTCAAAACACTTAAAAATATGTACATATTCAAACCAAAAAAGTCCTTCCAAAACAATTCCCTAGACTACTTTCTTGTGCTCTTCCACTAGGAAAGATAAAGAAGAAAAACCAGAAAATTGCATTTCTTAATACCCCATTAAAGGGGCTCAGTATTGAGGCTGACAGTCTAATTAACAGCATAATCTGACAATGGAAGCTGCTAATTTACTCAAACACAAGCTCTAGTATCAGGGCAGTATAGCACAGCACCCTGAACACTTGAAGACTCTACTTAAAAATAGAGATTACTTTGGAATTAGGCACTGTAAATAACACCCCAGATCTGATCTGACTGGAAGAGATAGCTTTCTATACCTTTCATTAGAGACAAATGCAATTAAGAGTTCTATGTTTTCTGAGGGAAGGACAGCCACAGATATCATGTTCTCATGCGAATTAGAGAGCTGACTGACAATGGCAGTGCCATTCCCTGACGTATTTTTTGGTGTTAAGACATTGAGGAGTAGGGGAAATACTTCATGGTAGTTTCAACGAGTTTTATTCTGCAGTCTAATGCACCCTCATAGAAAGAGATTAGTAGAAAAAAGAGATTCATATTACAAGTGTAGTTCTCCTAACCTATTATACAAACATTAGCTTCTATGTATTTCATTGACCTGCATTGTGCAAAGTACATAGAATCTAGAAGTCTAAAAAGAATATGGTTTATTTGCATACCCATATGTACTTGTATAGTTATTCAAAGACCCTTCCCTGCTCAGTCCCTCAAATATGTCAAGAAACAAAATCTGCAATAAGAGGTCAGGAAAAAATGTGAACAAAAGCCAAACTCAGATAAATCAGTCAGTAAGACTGGATTCATCAAGAAGGACACTTCTCAGTGTTTCTCAGTTTATCCTTTTTCTCTGTTAACATAAACTGTCTGCCAGTCAGGTATACACTAAGGCCTGAGCCTTCTTGATAAAGATTTTTTAAGAAATAATCTTCACACATCACTTTTCTAAGACAACACTTTTTACCTCCTCGGGAAACATGCAAGTTCTTGGCACAAAACATTAAGTGTGCAATGCTGATATTCCAGTCTCCAGACAGCTGGTTCCAAATGCTGGTAACATTCTCTTTTGCTCATCAAGAAGAAACACGAGTTTTTGAACACCAACCCAGCTACTGACAGTCAAGTTTCTGCCCTAATTTGGAAATTCTTACTTAACACATACATCTCTCCTTCCATTCCCCAGTGATGCTTCAAACAAAATAAGCGCAGAGAAGCAGACCTTCCACCGGAAGGATAAAGAAGTCTAGATCTTGGACTAGTTTAAGATAGTGGTAATGTATTGACTGAATCTATCAAAAAAAGTCCTGGGTAACTTTGAATTTATATACATTTCTAACTATGGCCATTGCAACACCCTTTTTGAGAAGGGCTACAGAAGAACCAGCTTGGGAAAGACAAGGAAACGATCTCAATCACAGCTTACCAGATGGTGAACCTTTATTTGAAAAGGAAAGGGATTTGTAGTCATCTCTTCAGTCAAGTCTAACGGTAACAAATCTTGGCTTCCATCATATAGCTCTGCCTTTCCAATTTCCATTTCAAGGGCCAGCACTCCACTGATGTCACTTTACCTCTAAAATTCAGCTTATCCTAGTTTCATAGACAGTAAGACTCACAAGCATAAAAGATGGCTCTAGTTTATTGTATCTGTAATTCAGAACCACAATAATTATGAGGAGAGAATTACACCTTCCCCCAGTCTTCCCACTGGCTAACAGAATCCTATGTAGATGATTTGATTCTGTAGAACTTTATATAGAAAGCATTATTAAAGTCTGGATGTACGATCTGTCTAAAATACTGAAATCAAAGTATGAAATTATACTTATTTTAGTTAGAAGTTAACAGGCTTCTCTGTGAGGTTTTCAAGTGAACCCACAGCATTCACTTGAATTTACAGCAGACATCGAGAACAGTCAGTAATTGTTGGGAACAAAGTACCAGTGTACAGATGGAGATATAGGGCAGCCAGATCTGAAGTGACAAGGCACATTCAAAACTATCTTGTTCCCATTTTTAAAGATCCAGCAAAAAGGAATGGAATGTAAAATGTTTATCTGCTGGTATTTTCCTTTGAAAATTCATCTCTGATCTACTAAAAATTTACTAAATATAATCACAGAGATCTCACTGTGTCTTTGTGGCATCTTTAGGGATTATTTTCTATTTAAAAAGGTTTTTAAAAAATATTTTTAAATGAAGGGTGAATGTTACTTAACCCTTCGAATTAGACTGCAAATCCAGATCTGTCTACACAGTAAGTTCTAGTTTGCCCTCATCTCAGCCTCTCTGCTATTAACAAAGGTAGAGAAATACAATACTGTCTAGGCCAAATATGCATTTTTCAATTTGACCACCAATGTTTTTTTCTTAAAACATCTCTGGGCAAGACAGAACTATTTCTGAAATCCTTTGTAATAGTCTTTAACTCACTTGCTCTGGATTACAACATAGCTTTCAGATACTAGGTGTTGCAAATGCTTTTATTTAAGGTTACAGTGAGATGTTCACCTGAGAGTCAAGGTACAGCCATTTCTGTCAACTGATTTATAAAATCCAAGCTAAGGTACCACTGACAGTAAGAACTAATTTTAATAGTATTTCTTTAGCACCTCAAGCCCAAGCATAGACTTCATCTTCAAAAGCCAAGCATCTTTCGCCTCTCTCAGAAAACCAGAGGAACACTTGCTGCTTCAGAGATGTGAATTTTCAGCCCTCACAAATTTCCTACAAGGCAGACATCTGACTTCCAATATCCCCAGCTTAAAGCAAGTGGGCAGGCTGGAAGATATCTCATGTTGCTTTCAGTGCACTACAAAGAATTCTTACTACAGTCTGTTGTGAGCGGAGCTGTATACTGGGTGAATTTATAGTACAACAGTGACAGCTGTGCCCTAAAAATTAAGTCTGCGCTGGGTGCAGAGTAAATACTACTTAGCAGGAGCTCTGGGAGGCAGCGTACAAAGTGCAGCTGCTGCACCACCTTGAGAACAGCACGTGTTCCCATCCAAGCCCCCTCAGCTCCACTCCAAAGAGGGAGAGATAGGCATCAGGCAGCATTTGAGTGGCTGAGTGTTAAAATACTGACAAGAATGCTTGTATACACAGATGGAAGGACACAGCTTTCCTACCCTAAGGAACTCCCAATTTACAAGGCAGACAAAAATACATAGGGAGGCCTATACAACTGAGAAGGTGTTAATACAGCAGCTTGCAGCATTAGCCAAGGCCTCTTCTTTTTCCAGGACTTGAGCTATGCCTGACTCCTTCCTGACCCCAACCCCCAAATCAGCAAGTTATATTTTACACTTCTCATTTAAGAACAATATTTCAGAGAATCAAGTATTCATGAGCACTGGAAATATGCTAAAGCACTGGGAATGAATGCTCTCTCTTCTTCAGGACCTCTGGAACAGAAGAAAACATTAAAAGAAAATGTTCCTTTCCATAGTCAGAAAACCTAGACATCAGAGACAGAACATAAGCTACCATTTACCAAAGACTATAATATACTCTTACAAGAAAAGGAATGCACGGACACCAGGGATCACTAGAAAATAGAATGTATTTTCTTATTGGAGAAAACAGCATTTAAATCTCCCTCTGTTAAATTTTTGCAAGTAGGTTTTTGTATAAATGCTTCCAGCAGACCTTCATAGGTTTTCTAAGCACTCA